GTTGAGGGTGTTAACAGAAGCCTAAGGACCTTCCAATGGGCTGTCAAGAAGGGATTACAGGAGAGGAAATATTGGGAGCTGAGACTGAAGATGTAGTCAAGTTTAGCAAAACTGTCACCTGTGGTAACACAGAAAATAAGAAATGTTCTTAAGGAACTTGATTAAGATTTCTGGGCAGTGTTGAGGGTGCCACTTGGCTGCTGTCTAAAATGAGAGAAGGCAAAAAACAAAAAATAAATAAAAATTTAAAAAAAATTTAAAAAACCCATTTCTAAGTATTTGGAGAAAATATAAAAGTCCAAAACAGTCTTTTTATTTATTTATATATATATATATATATATATATATATATATATATATATATATATATATATATATATATATATATATATAGATTTTTTACAGAGAGGAAGAGAGAGGGACAGAGAGTCAGAAACATTGATGAGAGAGAAACAGCAGCCTCCTGCACACCCCCTACTGGGGATATGCCCGCAACCAAGTTACATGCCCTTGCCCGGACTCGAACCTGGGACCTTTCAGTCCGCAGGCTGACACTCTATCAATTGAGCCAAGCCGGTTTTGGCCAAAGCAGTCTTTTAAACCAGCAAAAGGTTCTCATATTTAGAAATGGCTTCTAGCAAAGATCAAATCCAGAGTGGGGTAATGACTTTTTGTTCAAGACCTCAGAACAATGACAGTGCACACCACAACAGACAGTTCAGACACACAAATGACCCTCTACACATCTTAGGAATAACCTTGTAGACCTGCCCAAAGCTTCTAAGAATCTTAGGGACATTGCTTATAAGCTTCACAAGGAACAAAAAAGGGGACTGCTTCCAGTAGATATGGGTGGCTTTTGTGAAATGGATTTTCAGTTGATACTTGAGAACTCGACAGATTTAAAATATACCGGTTGGGACAGGGGTAGTATAAGCAGGCCTTGGGGTCCTCAATTTCTCTGGACAGGTTAGGAAAACCAGTCAGTGGCAAGCATGAACTACCTACTTCATGGGAAAGGTGGGACCACAAGCCATGACAAGCCCCTGGGGGGTACGCCTTAGCCCTAGTCACAGATCTGGCAACGTGAGCTGGCTGTGCTTCAGAATTGCTGGCCAAGTGACTGGCCTGTACCCTTTCATTTTTTAAAATAAGGGATGTCTAGAATAGCAATACTATGTCTAACAGGTCTTTGGGCTGATATTCAGGTAGAACAGGGCAGAGAACCTCTCTTTAAAGTTCACAGGTGTTGTGTTTTTAACGTTTTTATGGATTTTGGACAGGGAGGAGGAGGAACGATGTGAGAGGAATATTGAATTGCCTTCTTCCTGCATGCACCCCACTGGAATCAAATCCGCAACCTGGGTACATGCCCTGACTGGGAATCAAACTGGCGATGTTTCAGTGCACGGGACTACACTCAACTGAGCCACACTGGCCAGAACATAAGTTCCTAGGTCTTCAGACTTTTATCCAAGTGCCTCATCCATACCTGGACTTGATTAGATGTGCAGCTCCTAGATTTTGAGCTGTTAAAATGGGATTCAAATGAAGAGTTCCTGGAAAAAGCTGTGAATAGACTATGTATGTGGGAGGGATGTGAATTATTGCAAAATGTTCCATCCCACGTTATTTTAAAAACGTGAGGACGGTGGAGTTCTTTCCTTCCTGCCCTTGGATATGCAGGCTTGTGCAGAAATGCTACTGACTTCTGAGTCTGGGTTGTAAATAAATGGCAATGGGGCTTTTAACATACTGGCTGGAACATTCACGCTAGAGCCCTAAGTGATCATGTAGTCTGACTGCTGTGAGCACACTGTTGTGAGGAGCCCACACTAATCCATGGAAAAAAACATGGCAAGATCCTGGAAATAAGAGAGATGCCCTGCCAGCCCCAGCTGCTCTAGCTCCCTGCTGTTTCAGCTCCATCCAGCATCTGACCGCAAATCTGAGACCAAGAGCCAAATCATTCAGCTGAAATCCTTAAATCCCAACCCATAGAAAAAAACAATATTTAAAAAATATTTTTTTATTTTTCCATTACAGTTGACATACAATACTATTTTATTAGTTTGTGTACAACCCAGTACACTGGGTTATATTAGACATTATGTAACTTACTAAGTGATAATCCTGATAAATTGAGCCAGGTTTTAGGATGATTTGCATTACCCAAAACAGAAACACAGTTTCTGATAGAAATGTAATATAAATAAGAATGTAGATGAAACCATAATTTCATTTTCCATTCACCTGAACCAGGAACAACCATAATAAAAAAAAGTATACCAAATTTTTATTCCCCTGAAATTTGCAGTCTTTGAACATGACCACTGCTTTTTTAGGCATTGAGCCATTTACTGTAGTTGATTAATCCACAAGTCATATTTATCATATTAAATATACAGAGATGACTTTATTTCCTATCTCTACAAAACAACACTTATAATTGTACTTAAAAATAGATCGCAAACAATAAAACCATGAAATCAATGAAAATGCATGTTCCTTTATATTTTATTTACCACAAACATTAAGAGAATACAGCAAACACTGGAAAAAGGCTTTTTAATGTAAAGCTAATCACCTAAAATTATGCCTGTTCCCCCCCACTCATCCCAGTTCAACATGCAAATATTTATTTTCACATATGCTAATTCTAGAGCATTACAATTCCTTGATGGTTTTCTAAGAGTATCCTTGTCCTGTAACTTAAATTTCACAAACTGTACACGATTGTGGAATTATACCATTATTCATATAGATTCACAACATAGTAATAATAAAATTTGTTTTTTAAACACTATTTTAATAAGCCAAACCACAAAACGTCCAGGTTCAGATTTTAAATGTGTTTATGAAGACTGCTGCTGATGTCAAAGCATGCAGATATGACCACCTAGATGAAGCTGGATATTGAAACTCCTTCAGTAGGTCCAAGGATGCAATGTCTCACTCATCCCAAGCATCTCCGTATTTGTTTACTTTGACTAGGAAAAAAGCACAAATAATTGATGATTCCAACTAGTAATGCATAGAAAGGCGTTATTTTAAGTTCGCTATTATGATGAAAAGTTATGTTTCTCGTTTTAATAAATGCACACGAGAGTAGGATTAAAAAGGGGCTGGCAGACTTTGGTGAACTGGAGGTTGGGCATAAATAGTAATGCAATGTGTGGAGAACCTGACTTAAATATTTGATCCTCCTAACAACCTTCTAAACACAACCCCCATTCTGAAGGAGAGGAAACAGATTAGTAACTTGCCCAAGGTACAAGCCTAATAAAACAAGTGGACTAAAATGTGAACACATCTGCATAGGTCCAAAGCCTGGGTGCCATTACCACTTTACCTTCTACCTAAGTAAGTATGGTATAAATTACAGCATGTACAAAAAATTACTGGAAAATTTAAAAAATAATAATTAAAAAATTAAATTTTGTTTTTCACAAAAAATATAGCAGTAAAAATGGTCAGATATTCAGGTTACGGTTAATTCAATCTTCTCTCCTATGAGTCATGATACTGGTGGCAAGGAGGAAAGTTCCCAATATTCCTGCATTTTACATAAAATTGTATTTTGAAATATGCCCGTCTTCTGTACTCTTTCACCTTTTAGTCTCTCTTTTACATAGCCTTCATCTATAAATTTAAGTAGTCATAATGTAAAGAAGCATTTATCTAAGTACGGACTAGGAACCTCATTCCTCAAGACTTTCAGATATTCTATAAAGCCAAAACTATTTCATTGTTATACTAAGACATTATATATCCCTTTCCCTCATAATTTGTCATTTCCCTTTGCTTACATTCCCTCATTAGTACAAGGTAAAGTTTTCTAGAAGCTGCATGTGTGGTGCTATCAATTTCTAATTAAATAAATGTCATCCATAGAAACTAAAATTGAAAAATTTAAGTGATACTTCCAGCAACTCCACACTGTACTAACATCAAATATCCTGTCTAGATTATAGAACATGCTAGAAAACCACTAAAATTATTTAATAACTTTATCTTCAAATAAAGCACACAAAAATCACCTTTCTTTTTATAAACTATTTCATATTAAAGTTGTCATGTTACAAGTTTAAAAGACTGTTTACAGTCAAAACCACAAATGTCAAAATTTAGCAAATACCAAAGATCTACCATATTTCTTTTTCTTAATCTTTATTACTATAGAAAGCCCAAAGAAACACTCCATTTCTGATTTACCAGCATAAGGTACTATGCTATGCAGACATAAAAGATTACAAAATGAGAAAAGTACTACCGTCTGCCCTCATGGAGCTTACAGTCTAAATCAAGAATGTCAAACTCAAAGGCTAACATAGGCCAAATAAACAAGGCATCCAGCCCATGGGCTGGGAGTTTGACATGCTTGGTCTAAATCCTCAAGTTAATTAGCAGAACCAAGTACCAGTAAGTCTTTACATATACAGAGTAGTAGCTATTGAATGCATAAGGTTTACACAGTTTATTTTTAATGACAAACATTAACAGTGTCAATTATCAGCCTATTTTAAAGCTAAATTTTTAACATCAATAATGTAATATATATTATCCATCATTAATACGAAAATAGAATTCTAAAGGCAGTAACCATTACCAATTAGAAATAAATTTAGCTCTAAAAGAATGATTACAATAAAAAGTACAGGCAGTCCTCGCGTTATGTTGGACTCAAAGAACATCATTTCGTGGTTATGTTACTATCTCCAATTTATTTACTTTAAAAAAGTTCCGTCATTTCAACTTATGTACATATGTGTTTCATGTTTTTTTTTTATTTATTTACCACAAGTAAAGGTCAGGAATTGTTCTTTCTTTTAAATGTTTTTAGTTTCACTTCATTACTGCTGTGTATGTGCTCCTTGTAAGTGATGTAGGTGCTTATGTAGGTGGGCTCGACTTACAGCGAAAATCGAGTTACGTCGCACCACAGGAACGGATCTCCGACATAAACTGAGGACCTCCTGTACTAAGAACTGTTATGTATCTTTACATTCTTTGTGGCCTATGACTTTCAAGAAGGTACCAAGAACAAGCTTGTGGAAATTTAGAGGGAAGGGGTGGGAGTGGCTGGGTGGGTGGGAAACAACTTGTATGCATAATACATAATGTATGGACAGAGACAATACGTGGTGGAGGCCTGGGGCGGGGGGCAGGCTCTAGGGCCCAGTGGGAGAAAAAAGAAGACACATGTAATATTTTCAACAATAAAATTTTTTTTAAAGGTACCAAGAACCTATTCCTTCAATTTTTATAGTAGTAAATAGAAACCTTGAAACAATGACACATTCTCTAAAATTCCTCAAGACATACAATTCTATATTAAAATAGCTACAAACCCTTTATTAAAACCCCTTCTTCTGTTATAAGTAAACTTCTGTGTCAGAAAATTTACTTGGGATATTGAATAACTGCTCCAAAATGACTTAAAAGAAACAGTGATCTGGGACATCTGTAGCACACTCACCAATAAGAATTTTTTTAAAAAAGAAAAGAAACTGATTTTAAAACTTATACTTAATTACAGAGTAAAAGTACTATTTTAAAAAGGTCAAACTCCTCTTTGAAAATGTCCTAAATCTGCTTTGTAAAGCATATAACTCTATTTCAATTTCACTAAGAAAATTAGTTTCATTAATCATGATTCTGTGGCTCTGCCAAAAGTGGCATTACAACCCAATTATCAACCTTAGATCACCAGATCTGGTTTTATGTAATAGATGCATTATTTTAAAAAATGGTTTCCAATTTGAGTTCTTATAAGAAAAAACAGTCAAACTGGATGTATAATTCTTACATTATATTACAAAACTAGTCTTACTATCTTAAGTCATACTACCATTTTGACTTAATTTTCGAACACAAAATGGCCTTTACAATACCTTAAAAATGCAAGATATGGTAACTGAAATAGCGATTTTTAAAAAATATATACTATTTTAGTTAATTGCTTATAGAATTAAATCATGTTAACACGACTAATTTTTGTAACTAATGCTGCGATATCCAATCCTACAGAATACAGTGATTAGACTAAACTATCATACCTTCTTTTTTGGGTATTCTTTCCTGCATAGGCCTGACTGAGGGGTCAGTCTTATGTGCTAAAGTTACTTCATATGACTCTCTGTTCTTATTCCTTAATTCCTCATATGTAATACTTTTTCTTTTAGGACTTTCTTCAAGCCTGGGATCAGGTCCTAAAACAACAAACAGTTAATACATGATAATAAAGAGTTGAATAAATGCAAAGCAACTAAATTTTATAAATGCTCCTTACCCATAATAAAAATAGAATGAAGTGAAAAAAGGATCAAATTATTACCACCATTCCAAAAGTACTATAATTTCCCAAGGTAATTATAAAACCAAATCAACTTAGCTCACAGTTTCAAGTTTTTATTTCTAAAATCTAAAATTAACATCAAGAAATTAAAAACTAACAATACCAGAAGAACAGAAAACATAATACACACCAGCATAATTATGACTCATTAACATGTTAGTGTTTTAAACTACAAAGTGTTTATATAAACAAATATATTCTACTAGTGACAAATGAATAAAACTTGATCCAGTATGGCTTTTATTTGGTAGTATTTCCATAGTTAAATGTTCCCATAACCACAATCTATACACAACTCCAGCTATTATTAAAAATTATTTTACCATCTTTGTATTTAAACAAAAATACTTGAAAATAGCTTACTAAGAAGTATAAAACATAGCCTTTTAAGCAAAGTATTTATCATTTTCACCTAGGTCTAATAAATGCAATACTGAGGCAAAAGAAAGCAGCAACTATGATTTCGACTGGGAAACCAGCATTTATTCTTTATATCTCCAAAAGAAAGTATGAATACATATTATCAAAGAGTTAAATACTATTGAAACACATGCAAGTTGTTACTCTTAATATTGGTTGGCAAGACCAAATATTGAAGATACTTTATAAAATGTATAACCAGCAAAAAAGGCCATTTTATTATAAGCAGTTCTAAAGAAAATAGCAAATGCCAACACAACATTCAATGAACAACTACTTACAATCTGACACACTATTCCAAAAGTACTATTTTTCAAAGAGGTTTTTAATAAGACATACAAATTGGGCACATTTTAATTATGATTATTTTTTTAAAATAATTTTTGATAAGTCATATTGTTCTGGAACTCAATAGTAAGATCCCACTGAATAATCAGAATTTTTAAGCAATCTAACTAGACATTAAATGCTTTCAGCCATAATCATTTATTTTAATACATTAAATGCTTTCAACCATAATCACTTAGTATTTTAATACAAAGTATAGTGTATTGATACAAAGAACATTTAAGTTTTTCCTTATTAATTCTAATACTATACCATTGTTGAAAAGTAAAATTTTCTTTACAAAAAAAAAAGCAAAGAAAAAATAGTATAATCTTATATTGGTTTTAAAAAGCACTCTGTATTTCACTAGTAATGAGTAATTATTGGACTCATTTCCCTTCACCATAATATTTTTAAATATTTAGATAGTGTATACTAGATTAGTAGTCAGAAACCTTAGGTTCTCATTCATACTCTGCCAACAATTAGTGAATGTCCTTGGGCAAATCACTAAGCTTCTTTGAATCTTAGTTTCTCAACTGTGAAATATAGAAGTATATAATCAATTCCTAAAGTTCCTTCCAGATCTAATACTTTTTTCATTGTTCTGAAATTCTGTGACAAGTAATGAAAACATCAATCAGATGGAATGTTAGGGAGAATTTTTTACACTTATAAAAGTCAAATGAAAACATCCCGAATTGTGCAGGGAGAATAGCATGATTTACTACTTTGAAGGTTATACAGAGCTGGAAGGAATAAGAATGGAAAACAGCACTGATTTAAGTCTAACTGTAATTAACTATAAGTGTCATAATAATTATGAAGGAATACTTCTACTATGAATTCTCTACATTGAATAACTTTAAATTCTTAGAAAGCAGAACTAAAGGGGCAAGTAGTTCTACTTAACCAAAAGGGGAAGGTGTCTTAGTATGGGGGAACAGCAGCTGAGGCAAGCAAAGGAGGCCACTCTGCTGGTCCATGTGGAGAGCAGCCAAAGCGCTGCAATCTAGACTAGAGAGGGGTGAGAAAGCAGAACAGCAGACGAATCAATAACTGCTCTGGAGATTGTAAAACACGGGCCTTGCTGTGGTCTGTGGGACAATACCTAAGCTTTTATTATATTAGCTTTTATTTGAAAAAGAAACAATGTAACATGGAATGGAATTTGCTAATGCAAATGAAAGGAAGAATGCAAGTAATTACAAGGCTAGAATACAAGTAGAATGGATTTGAACTTGAGAAACGGGAAAAATGGAGAGATGCAATGAGGGACAAGGACAGCTGCCTTTGGATGAAATGACTTGAACCATTCTAGTCTGCCCATCTTCTGCCCCTTCTGACTACAGTTGACCCTTGAACAACATGGGTTTAAATTGTGTGTGTCCATTTATAGGGAGGTTTGTATAAATGGTCCTGCACAGTTCAAACCTAATATTGTTCAAGGGCCAGCTGTAATTGGATGTCTTTATTTCCAACCATTCAGGAAAAAACAAAGCAGCTGAGGATTAAGTCTCTCAACAACTTTCATCCACTAAAGAATCTAAATTATCTCAACTTCCATTCTCTCTGGTCTCTTCTGAAAGTACCCCTTCACTTTTGCTCTAACGCAGTGCTATCGAATATAGTTTTCTGTAATGATAAGCATGTTATATATCTGCAGTAAAAAAACAGTAGCCACTAACACATATGGCCACTGAACAACCAAAACGCTGTCAAAACAACTAAGAAACTGACTTTCAATTTGATTTGATAAATTTGAACAGCCATATATAGCCAATGGCTACTTGATATCCTGACCTACCCAGAACTGCTCCGCATCCTCTGGAACCTCACTTGACCTATAGTCAACTTCTCCCTTTCCACTGTATTCCCCCATCCCCTTAACCTACATACGTGTATATGTAGCTACAAACATCTCCCATCTGAGAGAAAACTCCAAATGTTCCTTTAACCTTGTTTGTTCCCTATTGTTACTGGCTTACTATATTTGGTTCAAAGCAAGTATTTTTGAAGAATACCCTAGAGAGGTCCACAATCCCTTATCCAAACCCTTGCAATCAGAAATGTTTCAAAATTTAGACATTCTCAGATTTTATAAAAATATTATAGTGTATATAGTCCTTGTATTATTTAATATTTATCCATTCCAAAGTTCAGAACAGCAAAGAGCAAAAACAGTATTTCTACAACAAAATTTAGGAAAAACCATATTAAGATAAAGACAAATAAACCTTATGTTTAGCTCAGGGTTTGAAATGAGTTCATGTCAGACTTTATTGCCTGTTTATTTAAAAAACATTTGCTTTCAAAGCATTTTGGATTTTAGGCTTTTTAGACAAGGAATTGCAGACCTGCATTTTCTGTTTCTAATTCCTCACCTTTCACTGCAACTAGACTAAAGGAAGGAAGGAAATTAACATTTGAGGGAGCCTATTACTTGCCAGGTGTTCGTCTGATTATTTCATCTCATTCCAAAAGTTCTTTCAAAGAGGTATTATCCCCATTTGATAGATTAAGAAACTGAAGGGATCAAAAATTACAATCACTTGCTGAAAGTCACATAGCCAGTAAATGTGAATCAAATCCAGGCCTTAACCAAAATTGATGTTGTTGTACTTACATCATGTAATCTTCAAAGCTAATATTTACACAAACTTCACAAAGCATTTCACATAGATTTTTTTTCACTTGACAATAGTTCAGTAAGGCAGGTAATTATTATTTTTCTCACATTACAAAGAAGCTAAAAGACTTTAAGACCAGCCTAATAAATGTAACCTTTTTAAAGCCTCTCTGAGCACAATTTACCACTTCTTTGATATTCCACCTCACTTAGTATTTTCCATTAATGGGACATACTAGTAATTTATCTTTATATTTCTATATCTTTTAACAGACTGAACCTAAAAAAAAATGTTGAATGAAGAAACAAATGAATGAACATGCTGTGTTCAGGCTGATGGTGGAACACACAGATGATACTCAGTAGAAAAGGTCATCAAATAAAGTTTATACATACGTTGGACCATTAAATGCTGAAATTCATTTCAAGAGAAGTTTCTACCTTGGGCAATATGATCAGTAATACCAGTGGGAGTAGATTCGTTCATAGAAGAACTAAATGGAATTGGCTCATAACGAGGAAACTTCTCTTTATCCATGTTATCTGCTGCGGGGGCTGTCACAAAAGATGAGTGATCACTCACATTGGATTCATATCTTGGCTTCTGAGAATAGTACCTACAAAAGGAATTCATATTGTATAAGAAACATGAATTATTCTTATACCTTATTTAAAGAAGCGTAGATAGGTATAAAAATCAGTTATCTTATGTTCTAAAGAAATTGAATTATTTTAAGTTATTTAAAAATGGTAAAATTAAGCCTGTTTCTGCCACACGCACACAAAAATGGTCTGACCTACTTATATAACTTAAAAACTGTC